TCTCTCTCTCTCTCTCTCTCTCTCTCTCTCTCTCTCTCTCTCTCTCTCTCTCTCTCTCTCTCTCTCTCTCTCTCTCTCTCTCTCTCTCCACTTTCATCGTTTCCAAGAGTTGCCATGGCGTATCCGTCCTTCTCAGCTAGTGGAATTTCACGTCAATGACCTTGGGCTTCTCGGGCTCCTTGGGCGGAATCTTCGGCACGGTCACGGTGAGGACGCCGTCCTTGCACTGCGCGCCGATCTTGTCCAGGGCTGCATTCTCTGGCAGCGTGAAGCGTCGCATGAATTTCCCAGTGCTTCGCTCGATGCGATGGTACTTCACTCCTCCTGCTTCTCCCTTCTTCGTCTCACGATGGCGCTCCCCGCTGATGACCAAGACGTTCTTGTTCTCCAGCTGCACCTTGACCTCCTCACGGCTAAGTCCAGGCAGGTCGGCCACGAACTCGTACGCCGTCGGCGTTTCCTTCACGTCCATCGCGGTGTTGGCCATGGCGTGCGACTCTCTCACGAAGGCACGGCCGGGCTCGTCCTGCGTTCTCAACATTTCATCTCCAAGGGTAATAATCTGCCGCACCGTGTCGGCCATCGACCCAAGACCAGCATCGTGGGCAAAGAGAGGGTACAGCGCCATGATGACTGTGATCAAGAGCGAGGACACCGCACGGATATGGCGGGAAACAAGAGGAAAGCGCGCGGAAAGTGTCGTTCTATGGAGTCCAATCAACCCTCGCGAGGTTGCGAGCGATTGCGATCGTCCACCAGGTAGACTAACTAGTGCGCAACAGATCAGATACAGAAAAAGACTGATCGCAATTCCTGTAGCTGGTAGGAGAAGCTATAAAAGCAGCAAGCTTGCGAAAATGACRGGAATTGAGAGTGGATGATGTGCTTGCTATGCGAGTGATGCGCACGCGAAGATTGCTGCAATGCTGGTTGATTCGCTCGCGAGTGCGTTTCGTCTTCCAATGACATTGGATCGTCTGTAACCACTGAGCATATATATAGATATATATGCGGAGAGCCAGGACAGGTGGAGTGTAGACTGCTTGGCGGGGGCGTCGAGGAGGCACCATGGGAGAGTTCCGCGTGCGGCACGACGACATAAACCTGAAAAGACAAGTGGCGAATGGATGCTCGCTTAGAAGGTGGTATTGTACATTACATTAGGGGAGAATGTATCCTGCCATGTTGTACGAGAAGATGCGCTCGCAACTTTTCACATTCCGTTAAGTACGGGGGAGGCCGCGTAACGGTTCCGTTAGGAGCTTCTGGGCGTTTCTTGTTTCGCCTTGCGCCGTGACGTGATTCGCAGCTTCTCGGTGTTTCTAGTCTATGCTCTCCACGACAGCCACGTGCGACTCCTTTTGTCGTTCCCTTTCGCCTTGCGCAGGGGCCAATCTTCTCTCTCTGTATCGTTCCCGAAGGCCGGTCTTTCTTTCTTTCTCTGGCTGCGCGGGTTCTAGATCCCTCTACCCTCCAGCGAACAGGGGCGCACCCACAGGGGCACTTCCGTGTATGCAGCGCGGCAAGTGCGTCCAAATTCAGTCCAGAAAAAAAGTTGTAGAGACTCGCGGCTTCTGGAATGCTCGGGGAAGGTGACACAGGTTCTTGGCGGAACCCCTCCACATTCGGCGAATAGGGGCGTACCGCAGCCGCATATGCGTCCATATTCACACTAGGACTTTTTCACTTATTTCTGGATCGAATTGCGGTCAGATGCCTACAGCTGTGATCGAAATTACGGTCCGATGCATTCTGGAAAGTGCTACAGTGAGTATGCCCTCAATCCAGGAAATATTCGTAGGCCCTCGCGACTTCTATCTAGATTGCTCGGGAAGCCTCACACACGTCGTTGGTTTCGGGTACGGACCGGTTCTGACCATCCGATCTGAGCATCTCACGGCCGCACCGTGACGACGTTTGAGGCACTTCACCAAGCATAACGGACCCTGAGAGTGAATGTAGACAGTATTTACGGCTCCATTGCGTTCGAGGAAGACGGCAGTGCAACTTTGGGCATCGCCACACGACTCTCGAAATGTGAAAAAGACAAAAATGTGGCGGGTGCATCTGGCCATGTTCTAGGAGGAAGCTCATTCCCATATTGCACATTTCGAGAGTGGTGTGGCGATGCCCTTTGCCGACCGTCTCAACTAAGTTCATCTGGGTGCCGCGGTGTCTGGATCTTTCCTCGTTGCGTCTGGATTCATCGACTTCCTTTCTTCACAACACAAGTCAGAGTGTCGTGCAGCTGGAGTACTCCAGGAACTACTAGAAGCACAAAAAAAAAAAAGAAACGCGGCGCACGTCACCGATACCCTACCGCAAACAGCCCGAGCACGCCATCGAAAGAGACGTCCTCCGTCCTGCGTCCGCCGTCCTCCATCCTGCGATGTGGCTCAGTGCGCTACCTATAAATAAATAAGTGACTGCACTTGTCATTCGTATTGAACATTCGAATTACGCGGCTGTTGACGATCACGAGGCTTCTTTAGCCTGCCTGTGACAAAGCATTCCACATCCGCGAGTGTGTGTGTCTTTGCACTTCTTCACATCCACGAATGTTTGCACTTGTTCACGAACGAGTACCTGACTGATTCCTGCTTGAGAGGAAGTCTGTGCCCATACATACGAGAGAGACTGTTCTTCTAGTAAAGCTCAGGGCAACTATCAGTAGTGCAACTTGGTTGTGGCTCGCTGTGCTCTCTCTCTCTCCCTCTCTCGGCGACCACCCTACACTCGTCTCACCATTCTGAGTCTCTGTTGTCGATTCCGTTGGCAGGCAGGCAAGTGCTTCGCCGGCGGAGGGACAGGCACTCAAGTCTCCCGTCTGTCATTCAGTGGTCGACTGCTTTGCTCTTCGTCGCATTCTTCTTCGCCCATCCTGTAGTCGAGCGGTTTACGTTCATYGTATTTCGCGGGTCCTCGCTCTGTACTCGAGAAGCCCTCATCTCATTGTAGTGCCATCTTGAGTTGTGCAAGGTCCATCCAGCGCGGTGTACACGTCAGCGGCCAGCTGGACGTGTCTGTCATCCCTCCATCTGTCTGCCACGTGGCGCGTTTGAACGCCTTTGCTGGGGGGCACGCAGATGTGTTATCTTCGTAGTTCACTCTGTAGCTGCCCATGCACGTAGTTGTCGATGCAGTACTACTATAACTCGGTGGATCTCAGCGGCCACGTCACTTTCTACAGATATACAAGAGGGTTGCTGCGGGCTGTATGCACGTGTGCATATCCGTTATTCAGAATTGATTAGCCTTCCGATTCCGTTGCGCGCCGTTGATTGAGTGTGTTTTGTGGTCGATTGGCGGTCGAACGGGCATCGAGCGACGTCATCTGTGTCGGTGATCTGATCTAATAAGCTCATCAAGATACTTGATTGGGGGCTGTTGGCACGTTTCCAAAGATGGGTGTGTACAGAATCGTCCTTCCGGACGCGAGCATGGCGTCGCTGATGAACACGCTAGAACAGATAGCGGACTTCTCCAGTGACGTGGAGGATGACGTCAACTCGTCGACGGCAGCGGATAAGTCGCGACGGGAGTACGTGAAGGAGCGACAGGCGATGGCCAACGCGGCGGTGGACGTGAAGGAGACGCCTACGTCGTACGAGTTCGTCGCGGACGTGCCGGGACTCAGTGGTGAGAACGTGAAAGTGCACGTGGAGAACGGCAATACTCTCGTGATCAGCGGCAAGCGCAGGCGAGACGCGTCAGCGTCAGCGGCGGAGGAGAATGGGGAGAAGAAGCAATTCAAGTACCTGCGGATGGAGAGGAGAGTGGGCAAGTTCGTGCGCAGGTTCACCCTGCCAGAAGATGCGGAGCTGGATAAGATTGGCGCGCAATGCCGGAATGGCCTCCTCACCGTCACAGTACCCAAGATCCCTCCGCGAGAACCGGAAAAGCCCAAGGTGATCGACATTCAAATCAGCTAACTTAAAGCAGAAATGCATACCCAATCAGCTGAGGGCAAAGAAGAGTTCATCTCCCATCGAGGATGCTGGCATACGATATGTTGCGGGTGACTGATCTCTCATCCAGTTGGTGTCGAAGCAGAACGTTGGGAAGAGTAACCAAGGCAAGTAGGGGGGGACCTGCGTTATGGTGTTCCCGCCGCAATGCACATGACCAGTATCTGTGTGGGAATCGGCTGTGATAGGGCGAGCGGGCGATCTGAGCGTGCGGGAGAGGATGTTTAGTGGACGCTAGAAACTTGCTAGTAGGATTGTGCAGGTTCTGTCAGTTGCTGGCAGATGGTGTCCTGCTGTCGGTGAGGAAAAGTAGGCGTCGATCAGCTTTGCGAGGTCGTGTGTGTGTGCGTGTGTGTGTGTGTGTGTGTGTGTGTGTGTG